TTCTATTGATATCGGCGGCATTACCCCAAAGCAAAATGCCGTATGTCATTAGACTGTGAAAGTAGCTGAAGTAAACCAATCTAGCGGTTTCGACGTCTGAAAGTTTCCTTATTTTTTTAATCGCGTACACTGCAGAGCCGAGCCGTTTTGATAACTTACTTATATGGGGACCCCATTGCAATTTAGCATCTAACGTTATACCTAGAAATACAACTGTATCCACAAGATTCAATTTTTCGTTTCTAACTACAATGTTGGTTAAAAAAGTCTCTCTAACATTGGGCAATGTAAATATCACACAATTTGTTTTTTTCTCATTAAGAAGTAGGTTATTAACAGCAAACCAACCAACTAGTTTAGCGTAAGCGCTCCGCAACCCGTATTGAGCTAGCTATGTGGACCTTAAAGGAGATCCGTGCTCAGCAGGGGGATAAGTTTATAGACAACGAAACCACCATAAATTAATTTAGCAATTTTTTTTTTTCAAATTTAGTAGCAGTAGAGCTCCTTGTGAAAGAGTTCGTCCGGGGAAGTACTGCCACCTTACCTATTTCTGTCGTGAAGCAGTAATGTGAACATTACTGCGTTCCGGCTTCGAAGAGTAAGGGTGCTGGTGAAATTACACGCACACAGGACTTGTCAACTTACGTCTCGGGGTGTCGGGCGCAGTGGCAGTGCCTCTCAGATCTTTATGATTTAAAGGTCTGAGTGACACTGCAACTGTTAGGGACAGGCGTGACGGTTACCACCAGGCACACGACCTGTTCGTCCCGTCACTTTGTATTATTTATATTATGAAAGAAAAAAAATAGAGTAAAAACAAAGTGATGTTTATTTTTAAGTAAATACAAAATTTTATATTCAAAGCAATTATTCGGAACCAAAACCTCTCTACGAATGTCATTAAAAGTATGTGACGATTTACTGTTAATTTTTTTGATAGTTTTAGTTTTATAAGAAGTTATTGATGTCGTTTTACTCATTAGGCAACGTATACTTTTGATATCAAATTTAAAGGTTTTTGATAAATCTCTCATATTTACGAAAAAATCGCCTGGGCACATTTAACAATTACACCCCATATATTACGTATGTAATAATTGTACCTATTTACCCTTTCGCACTTTTTTATTCAAATGTAAATGCGCATTTGACCTCCATCTCACCTGATGGAAAGTGACGATGATGTCGACGATGGAGCATGCACACCTCAACAATGTCTATTCATTCTCGCCTTGAAAATGCTCAAGTTATAACGTTCAGGGAACAAGACTGCAGGCAGGGTATTCCACTCCATAGCCGTTCGCCATATAAATGCGGAAGCGTAACGCTTCGTGCGAATCTTTGGAATATCCACAACACAGGAGTGAAACCCAAGCCTATGTCTAAAAGGGGAAGGCGGAATTAAATCGTGTAATTCAGTCAGAGTGTTCTTAAAACAAACTAAGGGGTAAGGAAAGTAAATTTCGAGATATTGTAGGTCAGTGTTTTCCAAACTTTTTGTCTGGTGGACCACTTGCCATTTTTGCCCCACCTTGACCCCCACCTTACTATTATTAAATTTTTCAAAAATTTTTTAAACTTCAAATGTGTGTTTTACAGCTAACTAAGTGCTAGTGAGAAACTTTATAAATAAAAAACCAGTTGACGTTAAGTTTTATACCTTTATTTAAACGAATGTCTTGTTTGTTCTGAAATGTTTAAGAACTTTATATATGTCTATATAAAATAAACTGTAAAATATGGATTATTTCATTTATGGGAAGCCTAAATTTTGGTCACGACCTCCCTAAATGGGTGCACCCCCTATTTTTTTCGCTGACTTGGGACCTTTATAGGTTGGAATGAACTCCCGGGGGTCAATGTAGACAATGCAGTCCACTTTGATCACCGTTCTAGGTAATCTGTTTATAATTCGCTCAAGGTAAAGTTTACGACACAACTAGATCTAGCTTGAATTTCAAACGACGATGACGGCTAAAATGCCATGTTGTGAATTAAAAAAAAAATACTACTCTTATTATCATTCCTGGGCAAGGATCACCTTTAAGAACTTCTCTTTTAATTACTTTAGGCAAGTGGCTGGTAAATCGCGAATCGCGAGGCACATAAGGATCTTTTTCCTACTGAATGTGGCTCTTCCATAAAACACCGATATCGAAGAAATACTTCCTTCATATACACATGGCTAGTGGGCTTCGATATACACACGCTCAGCGAACGCATCTTAATCATACTTAGGACGTTTTTGCGTGTACTTAGGTACCTGTATGGTTTCAATTTCAAAAAAGTTACTCTGAAATGAAATTTCAATGGCTACAGCAAGAAAATAATTACAAAAAGATGGTTATCACATCTTAAGTATACAAATTTTGTAACGTAAGAAGGCGATTTTTCACCATAAAGTTTCGCAACCACTACTCGTCGTTGTACGCTTAGTTAAACATCGTAATATTCTGCAATACCTAATTGTACAACTTAAACTCTTTTAAGAAACAAAAAAGGATGTTCAAGGGCCTGACAACAATAAATATAAATATGCCGAGGCGTGTTTATTTCTACTATTCCTTGCTCCGTTGGTTTCTCAATCAATATAACTCGTATTATTGGTCTTGACATTTTCTTGTATTCTACTATCAATCACCTTTGAAATCGATTTGTCAATTGCAAAAAAAAAAGGTTTCAGATAACTCCAATTACCATGTCCGGAGGTGAAAGTCAAGAAGAAAAACAGAGCCTGGTCGACACCATGAGGCAATGGACGAATAGCCAGCCCCATCTACCCAAAGACGCATGTAAAGTATTTGTTTATTCATTGTAATAGCCACACAATACATATTGCAGAATTTTCTTATACAACAGGACCATTAAAGAGGACCATAGATCTAATTGTAAAACTTAATATATTGCTACAATTTTAGAGTAAAAAATCTTTTAATCCGTTATACTCTTATTACTTGTTATGTAATAAACGCTGACATGGTTATGAGTTATCGCTGTTACGTAATCTAAATATATTGTTAAGTGTGAATTGTTCTCTATATAGGTATTACACGGGCTGCTATCGGCATATTATTTTAACAGCAGTAAAACTCCTTGAGAAAGAGTTCGTCCAGGAAGTGCTGCCATCTACCTATTTCTGCCGCCAAGCAGTAATGTGAGCAAGCAGTAACGGTGCTGGTGAAATCACAGACTTGTCCACTCTTATGTCTCTGTTGTCGAGCGCAGTGACAGTGCCCCTCAGATCTTTGTGATTTAAAGCTCTTGGTCGCACTGCAAATGTTATGGACAGGCGTGTCGTATCGTACGTCATATTTAATTACGGTAAAAATGTCGGTCATTTACGGTAGTTAATGAGAAGTGGTACAATTACATCTAGATACTGATTTTAACACGTGAGTGACTCGTTGCACGTTTTATATTTTATGTAACACTGAGCGCCAGTGTACATCCCACATTATGACAGCTTTATTTATTGAAATAACCTTTGACGTTATAAATGTGATAATCATTGTCCTTGGCCCTAGCTTGTCCATTTCGGACGGAAAGAACATGATATAAATTAGATTCATGTTTGTTGTTTCTCCGCACCCGCAATAATAGAATATAATTATTTATTTCGAACCATGATCCATAGTAATGGTATGATCCATGGTATAGTAGTTATTATTGTGTTATTATGTTACTTCTAGAGAAATGCCACGTCTAGACCACTATCCTACGCACGTGTAGTTGCACCCAATGTAGTTGGTAGGGGCAGTCCAGCTTGTTGGCAACAACAGCTACGATGCCATTAGCGCTGCCGCGCACACGCGTCATGAGTGAGGCAGCCTTCTTGCGCATAATAGCATGAAAGACATCTGTGTGCGCCTTCGTGCGCCTGATGGTAAGCGACACGCCTGTCCATAACAGTTGCAGTACCACTCAAGACCTTTAAATCACAAAAATCTGAAGGGCACTGCCACTGCGCCCGACACCCTGAGACATAAGTTGACAAGTCCCATGTATCTGTAATTTCACCAGCTCTCTAACCCTTTGAAACTGGAACGCAGTAATTCCTGGACGAACTCTTTCACAAGGAGCTCTACTACTATTGCTCTGTCTTCTTATCAGACACACCTACTGATATTTATTTAGATATTGTAAATCTTACTTCCAGCGGATGGCCTGCTCCTTCGGTTCCTACACAGCTGTTACTACGATCTGGAGAAGGCGAAAACAGCTGCAGAGCTCTTCTTCACCATCAGAGGATCTTCACCAGATCTGTTGAGTAACAGAGACCCAGAATCGCCTGCTATAAAGAAAACTTTTAGTATAATGTGAGTTTTGCACCTTTAAGTTCGATTACGAAGATCGTTTTCAGATCAAATCGTCAATATTATATAAATATATATAATAACTGCTATAAACTTATTTTGCGAATGCCAGTCCTTTGCATAACTACAGTTTCTACGCAATTGTCATAGCTGGGGATCTAGTCCCGTTCTAAGTCCGACATCCGTCCAAAACAATTACTGTCAAATCAGTAAAACTGCCTCCGTGGCCGAATGGTTACTATGGTGGACTGCCGCGCAGAGGGCGTTCGATTCCCGGGCCGGAAGAATATTTGTAAGGCCTACGTTTATTTCTCTCGTGAACTTGGGTGTAATTTGTGGTTGTCTATGTGTGTCCGTGGCACTCGCGGTACAGGGTTTGCTAGTGCGGGTAGTAGTTGCTAAAACAAAGTAATAATAATAAAAAATAAACGATTCAAATTTGAAGAAAACATTCCATCTCTACACAGAAAAAAAGGATTTCTACTAATAAGGCTCTTTCTTATTAGTAGAAATTTCTCAAAATATTTGCTAATTCTGAAAAAATATTTATTAAAAGTAATAAAATATTGTCACTACAAAAATACTGCTTATCTTTTTCTAATACAATTTTACTCTTAACTTTATTCTAACTTTGAGACAAATACGTTCACTTCAAGATTTTATTTCATTTCTAATCAATTAATTGGACATTACTTATATCAAGAAATTTTTACCTCTTACATCAAATTTAAATAATCTTAAATGAATTCAAAATTTCTTGGGTGTATTTTAAGAAAATATATTCTTAAACAAAAAAAGAAGTAGTTTTCTATTCAGATTAATATTCTAAATTCTAGAGTACATTCTTAAAGCAACATTTCGTTGCGTTTTCATAGTCAATCTTGTCGTGACATGTCGCCGAAGGCGCACGCGGTAACGATTACTTTTACTTGTGCTTGTAATCATAAAAATCATAAACAGTCATTTATCCAAAGAAACAATACGTAGTATCTCTAGTTTGTTAGGGTGTTCTTTATAGTCATAATTCAAGAAATTTGGTTACAGCATGAAATCAAACTATATACACTTGTAACAAGCATAACATGCAATTAGTTCCATCACGCCACTGCTAGATGGCATTAGATGTACTCTGAAACGCGCTATCGTTTTGTTAACTTCAATAGTATAAAGTCATCTCATATATTTGAAATTGTTAGTGCTCTCTGCCGCGCTGTAGCATTTATACGGCACTGGATGGTCCTCAAGTATTTGAGAAGATTCCATATTTCCATCCTATTTCTGCTACTTTAAGGTTTGGCACTGTTGGGTCCATAACCCTGTAAATTTATCCTTTTTGATATTAGAAAACATAAATCTTCAGTCAAATAATTAAGTACCTCTCAATTTTTCATTCTTTTTTTTTTCAAATCAAAATCGGACATTTCTAGTAACAAATAAATATTTTGTTGAATCTAGAGTGGCTTTGTGACTTGAAGTAAATTAATTTGCTCTTGGATTAAATATTTTTGTCTTGTAACGAAAATACACTTTTGAAACGTTTTTTTACTATTATCAAGTAATTATTCTCTAGCGTCTATAGGGAGAGAATCGTTTTGTTGGATTTAATAAATTTGTCTTCATAAAAAGAATTTTGTCTTTTTCTAAGTAATCTGTTTTTACCGTGTAAGGATGGCAAATTAGGGGTTGAATCTAATTTATTGGGTTTCACCCACTTTCCATTAATCGATTTCAATGACACATAACAAATATGTTTAATTCCACAAACTCTTGAGGTCGATTCTTTTTAACAAAAAGATATAATTATTTTCAAACATTTCAGAAATTTCTACGTTTGTTTTTTTACAATTTTATCATGTTATCTTAATTGGAAATCTAAGTTACGATGTTTATCTAAGTGGTTTCACGAGGTTTTCCTCATTTTCGATTTTTACAGTCGTTTTTACTACATTCATCGGTGCTGTCTTTAATATTATTATTTATAAACATTGCACAAGCTGCAATACACATAAATAAGTACTTTTTAAGACAATTATTAAAACTGTCACTAGTGTTGTGATAAGAAGGTTGTATTTTATATTCAATACATTATAAATTGAAAATGGAACCCTATTTTTTACCGTGTCTAAATCCCGTGTACTTTTCCCAGTCAACCGTCAAACCAAAATCTTTTTTGTTTGAAAAAACAAATATACGTAATTTAGATCTGGAGAAAATAGTTTAATTTCCAATTTGTAACAATCGCGAAAACCAAAAAACTCGGTAAAATACATTTTACATATTTTTTATTTTTAGTTTACTGTGGTACGAAAGTCGCTAGAGGACACTACTAGTGTTCATATAATACATTTTAGCAATAAGCGGATACATTTCTTGCTATAAGTGAGCTTCTGGAAGTGTTCAGTAGCGCCCTGAACCGAGGTCCGTGCCCACCTTGGCGCCCTCAGGTCCTCTACTAAATTATTATACAGACTAAGGGTCGTATTCTAGAACTCTACTCAATGCTCAAGTCAGGATTTGAGTATGGTTTAAAGCACTCGAAATCATACTCAAGTCCCTGCCATTAGGGTCGTATTTCCAGTGCTTGTGTTTCAATTGCAATCCTGACTTGAGCATTGAGCAGAGTTCTAGAATACGACCCTTAGAGCCTTCCACATATACACAGCGGTCAACCGCGATGCTATAAGCGATGTACCCTTAGGTCACAATTCAAATTTAAATTCAAATTCCGTTTATTTGCCACAGACCATGAATTAAGCTATTTGAGGAGCGCGAAAGTAGAAAAGAAAAGAAAATAATAATAATATACACAATAAAAACCGATAGCGATTGTCAATTTTAAAACGGAAGTTAAAATTTCCTTAAATGGTAAAAAACGGAATAAAAAAAAGAACGAGAAAGAATAAAAAAAATGTTTGAAGGGAGTAAAAAAAAATCTAAAATTTGTAACATATTTTGATGACCCTGGTGATTCAGCATCTTCTTTTGAGCAGTTAAAAATATTTTTTCCAGTTAGAACTTAGAGCTTAGCTTAACTTAGCCGTAGAGCTCCGGCACTGCAGCTGTTATGGACAGGCGTGTCGCTTGCCACTTGGCGCACGACTTGTTCGTCCCATTACTTGGTATAAAAAAAAAACAATTCTGGAGTCTCATAATGCAACTTGCTACTGCAGTGTACATAAGTAAATGCACAAATACTCTGCAGTCCATTCCCCATTTGTATACATTACTAAGTACAAGGGTAAACTTATTTTTTTTAAATCGTAATCACGCCATGATGAATCGGATGTTGCAATGAATATTTCACTGCTAACTTGCTACAGCGCTGTGCGAATTTGCAATATCCCGCTGAATTAATTACAACATCAATCTGAAGCTGGCCTGTTAGTTACGATAAAATGATCTGCTAACGGTTATCCTAGATAGTTTAGTTTATAAAACGATACCACTTAGCCATAGGGTTATAGTTGACAGAAAGTATGTTAAAGAAATAGATTTTTTTTGTTATACACGTAACCTACCAGCATCGTACACATTTGTAACAAGTGGCTTATATTTTGGTTTAAAAAAAAATGTTTAATATATATTCTTTATTGCACCAAATAAATACAACAGAAACATTAGATTAACAGAAAGTAAGCAAAGGACTTATCTCTAAAAGAGATCTCTTCCAGCCAACCCAGGACAGTGAGAGCTAAGGTTATAAGCGGGCAATGGCGTGCAAGAGAGAATGAGAAGGAAATATAATAAACTAAATAAATAAAAAATACCATATTTTTTTCAGTTACTTACATAAGTATTATAAATATTATAATGAATCATAATAAATAGCCTCAATTTGTATATAGTATATATGTATATAGTGTAATATATATACACATAAATACATGTTTCGCCTCTCCACGGGTATATTCTTGGTGATGGTTTGTGACTGTAGTTGCGTTTGTGTTATTTATTTTATGCGGAGGGAGGGTGGGATAATAAACTGCATGAAAAAATATTCAACACAAGCGCAGCTGTTTTGCACGATTTAAGCTTCACTGGGTTCGCGAAGTAGCAAATTAATTTACTTCCATTTTTATTACAACATTCGTTTGGTGAAATACCCTTGACATGAAAGACTCTGCTAGAAAAAGTGCTCTTTGCAAATATAGAATATAAAAAAATATAGTGTTTGTTAAATGGGACAGTACGGGGAAATAAAAAATGGTGAAAACATTTTTGGTATAGTAAATTTTTTGGTCAGGCGTGTGTTGTCCATAAAAATGAATAAAATTGTCAAAATTTTTTTAGTGTTGATCGATTCAACTTCATGAAGGAATCATTTCATCGTGTGGGACGACAAAAATCGTAACAGCATAAGTTGGACAAATTGAATAAAATATTTTTTATATAAAATTACTTAAATTGACTATTTTTTTAATGCTGTTAGCTTGTTAACGATAATTTCATTATGGTACGAAAAAATCGGGACAGCAGAAGTTGATCAAATTTAAGAGAGTTACAGACATTTTTAGGCGAGAGTAGGTAAACGTCATTAATGCTTTTCAAAGGCACCAACCTGACCCACAATCGGTTGGGGGAAAGAAATCAATGCCATTTAAAATTTCAGATCAATTGGTTACATAATATATGTACATATATTATAATAAATATATCGTACCTACTGTAGATATCATTAAAAATACAATTTTTGTAGAAACCGAGCCCAGCTTCATATATCAGGAAACAGGAACCTCTGGATTTGGCAGCTTAATGACCCGGGTCTTGATAATTACGACTATCTCCAAGATGCCAAGATTTTCATACTGACCACAGACGCCTGGTTGCTGGAGGACAGCACGCTGCAAGAAGCAGACATAATCCTCATGGATGCCAAAGATATATCCTTAAAGATGCTAACTAAATTTAATATGTCCGTGGGAAGGCGGATATCGAGATATCAAGAGGTTAGTAATTTCAATGCTAAGTTCCGATAAAAAAATCATCGATGATTTTTTGATCGGAATTAATCCGGACGCTGGAAATTGCAAAATTGTGAAAAATCTAACAAAGAAAGATAAATAATTTTAATTATTAAAACCATTGGCCATACATATACAAAATACATATCAGAGTACAGGAAAATCGAGTGAACTGTACTGATATAACTGTTTGAGAGCTTTATAGGTAATTTCGAATATTTTTTGGAATAATTCATTTTTTATCTTCTCCAATTTTTCACATTATTAAACAAAGAAATTTGAACCTGTTTCTCATGCAGTCAGTGTTAAATTAACGTAAGGGATGATAAGGAATTTATAAATTGTTTATACTGACTCACTTCGGGATTCCAAATCAATCCTCCCTCTAGAAAAGCGAGAGAATTCTCCCTATTAGTCTTATCAAAGTTGTTTAATAAACAAATTCCAGGATGCGATGCCGATAAGATTGAAAGAGATCCACCTGGTAAACGTGCCCTCGATCATGGACAAACTGTTCGCTGTGATGAAGCCTCTAATGAAGCAGGAGATCACCGATATGGTTAGTCTAAATTTTGTAACAAGTGCTTCACTTATATGAAATACGGTTGACATAGTCGTGCTTCCATCGTCCCAAGCGTATTCGATATCAGCAACAGTAAAGACGGATACAGCAATGAAAAGGCCATGGCTCTTCTTGCGTATGTCTGATTATTTCCTCATGTGACACCATCATAATGTGAGACATAAAGTCCCTCTGATGGACAATCGTAATACGTTTCCTCTTGAGATAATAGCTAACAGTAGCGTCTTGTCTACTTTGTTCCATCAACCTGCCTATAACTTCATGATCTACTGAATGAGCTCGATGATACCCATAGATAGAAGATAAACTACCTAATCTTTCCCACTAACGAGTTCATCGAAGTAGATAACAGGTAGCCATAGAAAGATGCTCTGTTCTAGATGAATCTACCCTAAGCTTCGTTGTCCCTAGATGCCTAAACAAATAAGAATGCCAACAAACACGTAGCAAATACGTGGATAATGTAAAAATTCAAAGATAGCTATAAATCTTTTATTCATTAGACAGGTGCACTGTACCTTCATAAAAAAAATGTCTTAACATCTCTGAAACAAATAATAACATCGCGTGCGTGTGAAGTCCACATCTCAATATTTATGCTGGTACGAGTGTCGATCGATTGGCGTCTAAATAAAGACGCCGCGTGGGACGATGCCCAACACCGTTTGGTGGAACATAATTGAGATTCATTCCCTTTACTTGTTTACTTTGTTTTATTGGGTAGGTTTTTTATGTAAAATAGACCCACGCCTGGCTACAACGTTGAGCTACGATGACACGCGTAAGCTTATTCGATATTGTCTTCTTATTCTTATCGCGTCGATGATTCTCTTGTTTAACGACTATATTTACTTCGAATGTTATGTTGCTAACTTGACTGCACTATCCGCAGCCGCGTAGAGATCTTCCCTCGTACTGGTAATAAGGCACAAGGCACTCACGAGCAGGTGCCGAATGGACTGTGTCGTCACCGCAGTCACATCGCGTTAGACTCACATCCCATTTACACATCTCTATCACTCATGGTTTTTGTGGTGCATAGGGAACGGTTACGGCTTTTGAGTTTGGCTCAGGGATTCACTCCAGCCATGAAGAGTCCCAAATCGTACACATTAGGAATGAGGAAGTAAATCGATTCGTTACAACTACTAATTACGACTAATTACAACAATCATGTCATTAAGCAATTTTTACCACTGACTTGTGGCGTTTGTCACAGTGATAAAACAACCTTATATAGTACCCTTATTTAAATAAATAAATATTAGACAATACCCACACGTTGCTCTGATTCCAAAGTAAGTAGCTAAAGCACTTGTGTTGTGGAAATCGGATATAGCAACGGTACCACAAACGCCCAGATCCGAGACAATATATATAAGTTAGTTTCCTACATTGACCTCAGAGATGACGACACGACGAAAACCGGTGCTCAAGCCACTCAGCTACCGAGGTCGTCATAATAATAAAACCACCATAATAAATGCACGCCAAAGTGCTTTTATCACATGAAAGTAATAAAAATAATACGAACTACATGAAGCAAAATAAATTATATACATATTATATAATAAGTCAAATTTTATGACTCTCCTATAAGCATGAAAAGTTAAGTTAAGTTGTCATTTTGCAACTAATTCTGCAAATATTATGTAATTTGTGTAAAAATGAGCACAAGAAATATATTAAAAAAAATCTCGCTGACATAAACAAGTTTGGGCGCTAGTAAATTTAATTTGAAATACCTTTAACGGCTTTTTTAATGTCTTATTTAATTTCAGTTTTATTGTTATGCAAAATCTACGTAATTTTTCAAAGAAAATATACTTTAGGTGGCAATATCTCGAAATAAAAATAAATGTACATACTAGCGTACTAGATGCGACGATCCATACACACGCTGTGTTTCACTCACGTGCGGTGAAGACACAACACATCAATATCATAGAGTATTAAGCAACAGAGTGTTTTGGTTACATGATAACAGAGTATAAGGATAATATGAATAAAATAGTTACTACGGTTACCACAACATAAATTTTAAAAATATAAAATGTACTACGCTGCATGGTCTAAAGATCTTTAGACCATGCAGCGTCTTTGCCTTTCCGCAAGTACATAACTCAAAGTACTTTTCTTAGTACTTAACGTAACATCAATAATTTCAACATCGACTGTATTTTTTTTACTTAATTTGTTTTTCTTTTTAGTATGGAAGACCCCTGGGTCAAAGCAAAATGAAACGCATTGTGCCACAAATAGCGACTTTGCCAGGGGCTTTATATGAATTCCCCAACTATGGATAAATATCATTGGTAAACCGTCATTAGTATATGCCTGCCTAGCACATCCCCAATAGGTGTAGACGTCACGTCTGTCCATGGTACTACGGTAATGATACTCTTTGACAAAATTCAACAGTAAAACAAAATCCTATCACTATTGATAGTGTTTTGTTTGGATCATGTACCTAGTTGCTGTGAATGTTCTTATCTATAGATTAAAGTCGTTGTTTTTTTATTGTGTTTTATGTTGTGACAAATATTTTTGTTCATAGATACATTTCCATACATCCACATCGAGTACACTGTTCCAGTATTTGAGTAAGGAAGATCTGCCAGAAGACTTCGGCGGCACGAATGGAAAAATGGCAGACCATACGAAAGATGCCCTCGATTTGGTTATCAAACACAGGTCCATAAAATCAATAATATTATTATTTATTTAACATCATTTGTGCCACTCCTGAGTAACTATCGTAATTATCGTTATACAGCTGTAGCATAGTAGATCGTTGCGATCTCTTTCTATCTCTGAGTTATATTCATACTTAGTAGCTGTAGAGCTCCTTGTGAAAGAGTGCGTCCAGGGAAATACTGCCACCTTACCTATTTCGGTGGCCAAGTAAGCATTACTGCGTTCCGGTTTGGAAGGGCTGGTGAAATTACAGACACATGGGACTTGTCAACTTATGTCTCAGGGACACAGGCGCAGTGGCAGTGCCCCTCAGATCTTTGTGATTGAAAACTCTGAGTGGCACTGTAACTGTTATGGACAGGCTTGTGACTTGCCATCAGGCGCACGACTTGTTCGTTCCGTTACTAGATATTATAAAAAAATATATAGAAACAAGTTCGACGTAATATTATAATGACTAGCGGAAAATGTTCGCTTTTGAGGGCTGAATAAAATTGGACGTGTCACAGTTGTGACAGACAATAAAGATGAGACTACACGAGCGTAATTTTTTGAGTTGTGATTCGCGTTTCTTGAGTTTACATTCGACATTCGGTATAAAAAATAAAACACTTGTATTTTTTCGTCAATAGCCTAACTTACTAGGTTTTTTGACTTGTTTTTCGATATTTTTAAGGTACAAAATATGTCACAACGTGTGTTCTGTTCACAGGGAAAAACTGAACAGCGATTTATGGATGGCGGTGGGCAAAAAATCAAAAAACAAGAAGGAGAAGGAAAAAAGTGCAGAAGTTACTACGGGTTTCCGGAGTCTTGCCATTGATTAGTATTTATTTCAGTAGGTAGGAAAATGTATCAAATTATGCCTAAGCTGAAAGAAATCCTATCATCAAGGGTCCATGAGCTGTCGTAATCTATGATTGCTTTTGTTACATTGTTCAAATAAGTGACAAATTGTGCAAATTATTGTATTACATTGAATATACCCTTTGCGAATCTGGGGACCAATTTTCCAATGGATATCATAAATGTCCAGAGTACAAATAATATTATTTAAATTCTCGCAATCGATTAGAATTAGATCTCCGACTTTGTCATCGCCTAGTGTATACTGGTCGAGAATTTGTAAATTCTCCAATTGAACCAGTTAGATTAGGCTATTTCTTCCCATAAACCCATGTGCGAAAATCGGACGCATATAAGTTGATAATTTGTAAATGTACATACAATTTTCTTAGTTATAAAAAAAAATACAGATGATAGCCCGCTAGATAGCTGCCGATAGACTATATTGTTAAATATATTATTAATTAATAATGGAAATTAGAATAAATTACAGTTTTAATGATCCACTTTAATCCCGCTACGCAAGGCTATATAGATAGATACTTGTTGATGTACTTTTAGAGCATGAGAAGTGAAAAAAGTGATAATGTACAAATGATTAAATAATATAACGGCGTTAAATAGCTGTATTTTTACTGTAGATAATTATGAGAGGCTGAAGCGGTGGCTACGTCGTTCCTAAGCGCCGAAATCTCTCAAAAAAATTCTTTTAATTCTGGCGACTGACGCAGATATAAAAAAAAGTTTTACTGGAATTTGTTATAGGGTGAGAAGTAAGAACATTGTTTTATTATTAATTCTTCAGCAATTTTAAATTCTAACATTCCAGTGTTTATTGTTTATGCAGTGTATTTTTCTGTGATGTTTATTTTATTGTCTTTTTTTTATGAAATGAGATTAGTTTTTTGCAAACAAGTGATCTGAAATAAAATGATTTTTTTTTTGTAAAATGCGTTAATTTTTATTTTCCTATTTTACATGTCTTGAGAGCTGTGGTTTCTCTTAATTGTGTGATGGATCTATTATTTTAATCCGTAACTTTTCTAATTGAACTAACGGTGAAGGGAAACATGATGAAACCTGCGTATCGAGGAAGGTTCACAATTTTGGAATATGTGTGAAAACTGCTGACGATAATTATTTTGTGAGAATATCTGAGGGGTGCGTGACAGATCCAGCACCACTTCCAGTGGCTTCATCTGATGCTGAATACGTGTCACTTAAATGGAAGATTCCTTTTTTGTTTTATATTTATCATGTAGCGCTAGTGAGAACCAATAACACTGAAAAGGGCAACGGAAAAAGTATCGATACTTTTTGGTATCGAGTACTTTTCCCTCCGATACCGATACTTTTGTACTCGATACTTTTCAGGTATTAGTACATCTGGACAAATATCGTATCGTTCCGAATAATTCCTACTTAGGACACTTCATTATCATAACGCAAGCCACCTAGCGATTTTATTTTTAATGGGAACCTTTATCACAAATTATTTGGCTTTATATTGTATGCCACCATTTGCCTCTTTAAAAGAAGTTTGTTACTTCTTCACAACGTTTGTTCTCAAAAGCAGACAATACAGTATCAAAAACAAAATAGATTTTTGTTTTTTAGTGATTGAGGAGGAATGGGAAATTGGAAATTTAAATAACACAAATTATGTAAAATGACGATAGATTGAATTGATCAATTGATTGAATTAATCAAAATCTTTTACTATTTGTTTCAATTAAAAACCATAAATCAATAAAAAAAGGCAAATTCATGTGTTTTATTCTGCCTTTAAGTAGAGAAAATCTGCAGAACAAAAGTATCTATACCTCAACGTATCGATACTTTTGCTTCGATACTTTTATGACTACACGTACGATACTTTTTATGCGATACTACTCATGAGTACAGCATCGATACGTTTGATTCGATATTGTGTCCATAACACTGAAATGAAAACCGCGAGCAGCAACAAAAAAAACTGTCCAAGTGTTTACCGCACAGTTTCCAGACAGCAGTTTTTATCAAATTTAGTAGGTAGGTACGTCACAGCATTAAAGAATGTTCTTGTTACAATTTTGTTATTTCTTTACCGTGATAAATTTCCCCGTTTTAAGAACACCAAAACACTTTGTAAGCGGCTAAAACGCTAACCACGAAAAGCCAAGAAAGAAAGAAAAAAAGTTAACGTTCACTGTGCAGGGTTGCCAGAATTATACCAATTCTTGCACATTTTTCACTCGTGTTTATGAAATTATATGATTTATAAATATATAGAACATAATAGAATAGAGAATAGGAATAATTTATTACTATATAGTTAATGCTTGCCATCGTGGTGAAAGGATTTGCCAATCAGCATGACGTACCTACTCGCCGATTGTTGTCCAGGGTGAACTAGACATGTCTACAGGTAAGGCATAATGGTACGTCGAGCGGCAAGATCTCCATTTGTGCACCCCTTATTTTTTGGAACGAACTTGTATGCTTGAATGGTAGATAATTCTTTGAATGTAAAAGTTATATATTACATAAAAGATAAAATTTAGCTTTACTTTCACACCTGGCTCACCTATTATTTGAAATTAGACGCATATTTAGTAATAATATTATATAAGGCAAAGCAAGTCGTATTTTAATGTTATGTTTTACCACATGCATTAAGTAGAATGCCTGAGGCACTATCGTCAGTCTCTGAATTCATATAAGTCAGCCATTTATTCTGATTCAATGTAATTATTAACTCAATTTCAATATTTTTATATCATAATATGGATGAAATCATCCATAGTTTTGTAATTTATGGTTGTCTATGTGTGTGTCCCCGGCACCAGCGACACAGAATTACCATTAATTAGTGCGAGGTTTTCAGTGCGTGCGTTAAAAAGTATTGAAAAAACATAAATAGTTTTTCTTAGCCTTATAAAATTAAGTAACAGATGAACAAGTCGTGCGCCTGGTGGTAAGCTACACGTCTGTCCATAACAGTCACCCTGAGACGTAAGTTGACAAGTCTCATGTGCCTGTAATTTCACTATCACCCTTACGCTTCAAAACCGGAACACTGTAATTCTGATATTACTGCTTGGCGGCAGTAATAGGTAAGGTGGCAGTACTTCTCTCGACGAACTCTTTCACAGGGAGCTCTACTGATAAGTTATGCAGTGGAAGTACCAACTGCTCGGCTTTGTTTAACAATAGCTGATTTCGTTTTTTTTCATATCGGGGACCGGGCTAAAACGGTCCATTCAATACTAACATGACAGTCTCACAAAATCCTCAATCGAGTTGAAATTCCCCGCAATTAGGGGAATTCCTCACAAATTGGCAACACTGGCCACTGGACTCCGTTTATTTTTTTTTCATAGACTAATAAATAATTAACTGTCAGAAGTGTCAGATGAATTCCGTTTATGTTTATTCCTACGATTTATTCCATTTTAAAGAATGCAGCTAATTAAAGATTCAAATAATGACGACTCGTATAACTTAATACGGTTAGAAAATAATTTTAAAACGTCAGTCGCGTACCTATTGTTGGGTCGGTCATTCATTACATAATTTGGACAAGATGCATATTTCAAGTCTGATGGACAATAGAATTCATTAATCTTTTTGCATCAGCTTCCGTAATCAAGCGAGCTCGTCAGGTTTAACCCATTATATGTTCCTTACAGATGTAATGCAATAGAATTGTATTTTAAAAATAGTTCTTATTATTAAATGCAAGTTTGTGAAATTTAGGAATCGTGTGCAGAAGGCAGAAACCCCATAAATTGTCCTGTAAAGGATTTATTAAACAATGGAAGCTTAGTAATTTTGCTTAACGTGTTTTTCAGGCGCATTATCCGAATAATAATATCAATTTCTTATTTCTAATTACTATCCATGAAATAGAGTTACTATACCATACTCTAACGATGTTCCTTGGAGGTAGATACCTAAAGTATTTAATTGTCAATTTGCATACTTTTGTGTAGAATGTACAGGTACCTATTTACTAAGAAAACTAAATTAATATCGAATTCGCGTAGGAGGTGACAACGTTCGGACCTGAGTGGTAGGCGCACGTTGCTTGATTATGTTATGTGTCACTCTTGCGCCGCTCGCGCCGCCCGCCCGTTAGTTTGCATTTCATTCGTCAGTAATAAAATGCCCTCTGTGCTAAATTGACGTATATGGAAAGAGTAGTTCAATTTTCAAAACAAACTTTGCGATTGGTTAATACGATAGAGGAGGAAGGAAATACGAAAATAAAAAACATAAGGTCAGTATCATTATGAATTTTTGTGGTAATCTCCAGTTTCTGCAGTAGTTTACCTTTTTAAACCTGTGTCATGTACAATCGGCACCTAAACAAGTTTCTTTTTAGGCAACCGGTTTTTGTGGTCCCGCAAGTAGTTTTTTTTTGTAATTGAATTTATCATTGTTTTTAGTATTTAATTACCTACGGATGGACTTTATATATTTTGTTTTATATTTATCATTTACTTTTTTAGATTATTTACTATTGGAGATTTGTAATTGGCATTTTCACATGTTGCTCGACATTAATTTATTGTTAAAAAGTCGCTGTAAATCTTCCTAAAAACAAATAAAATAAATATTATTTTAAATACTACTATTAGAAGATCTTTTGGTGCAACCCCTTTACATCTCATTATTTTCTATCTTATAGTCGCCTGGAAAAAATCGCGACTAAGCAATGTACGTACCTAGGTACTGTTAATTGGCTTTTTTGATATACTTACAGTAATGTGCTGTCATTATTTTTAATGATCATTTAATTATTGGACTGTGCCATTAAAATGTTTCTCATGCGAAACAATCGTGTTTATAGTTTAGATAGTTCTTGGTAGTGGTATATATCCATAAAACTGCAAATATTAAGAAGCTTTGTAAAATATATTGTATATACATATATTTTTGATCAATATTTTATGAGTTTCTTCATTCGAGTTACAAAATAATCCACTAGGTACATACAATTAACTCATGACTCATGAAGGTATTATTATAGTTATATTTATTTATGCATATTAACCATTGTATTATGTAAAAACGGCTGACCCTTACTTAAGAAATATAGATAATAAAGTCGTGGACATACCTGGATGTCAAAGTCGCCGAATAAGTACGATAAAAAACAACATTTCAATGCTTTCGCAAACGAATTACTTACCTTGAGTAATAATGTGACAATTCGCAAAAAATCTTGCTAAGTCTCGATGAAGACGGACGTAAAACAATAACATACTTACCTATAAAGTAATGATTGTAATAGCTATTTCTGCACGTATTCTTATTCCTTTAAGTACCACTTGAAACGTGAAAATTGTTTTGTAACATTACATTAGTACATATAACCAAAACAATTGTTACGTTTACAAGGATGAATATTATTATTTCTGGTCCAT